CCCAGGCGGGTCTCGAACCCGTGGGCTCAGGTAATCCACTCACCTCAGCCTCCCAAGGCGTGGGATTACAGGCTGAGCCACCGAGCCCAGCTGGGGTTTCTTTTATAGAAATAAAAATGTAGCCAGGTGTGGTGTAGCATGTCTGTATTTACAGCTTCTCTGGAGGCTGAGATGGGAGGATCACTTGAGCCCAAGAGTTTGAGGCCAGCCTGGGCAACAATAAATAAATAAATGGGACCAGGTACAGTGGCTCAAACCTGTAATCCATTTGATTAAAAAAAATAGTAACCTAGCACTTTGGGAGGCCGAGGGGAGAGAATTGCCTGAGCCCAGGAGTTCGAGACTAGCCTGAGCAACGTGGCAAGACCTTGTCTACAATAAATCAAAAAAAGCAGCCGGGCTTGGTGGCGCATGCCTGTGGTTTCAGCTACTTAGAAGGCTGAGGCAGAAGGATCACCTGAGCCCAGTAGGTTGAGGCTGTGTTGGCCATGGGCATGCCACTGCACTCCAGCCTGAACGACAGAGTGAGATGAGACTCTGACTCAAAAAAAAAAAGAAAAAAGAAAGAAAAAAAGAAAGAAAAATCTATACACAAAGAAAAGGTTACCTATATTCTTCTACTGAAAAAATTACTCCTTGAAATTGAAGTTAAGTAGTTTTTTTAAGTTTAATTATTATTATTTTTTTTGAGATGGAGTTTCACTCTGTGCAGCCCACAGCAGCCTCGACCTCCTGGGCTCATGGTGATCCTTTCACCTCAGCCTCCTGAGTAGCTGGGACTGCAGATGCATGCTGCCAGGCCTGGCTAATTTTTTTTTTTTATAGAGATGAGGTCTCTCTGTTGCCCAGGCTGATCTCAAATACCTGTGTTCAGGAGTCCTCTCGCCTTGGCCTTTCAAAGTGCTGGGATTGCAGAAGTGAGCCACCATGTCCTGGCTAATTTTTTTATTTTTTGTAGAAATGAGGTCTGGTGTGTTATCTAGACTGGTCTTGAACTCCTGGGCTAAAGCAATCCTCCTGTCTTGGTCTCTCAAAGTGCTGGATTTACAGGCATTGAGCCACAGCACCCAGCCTTAAGGTTAATTTTTATTTCCATGAAAATTATACTTGTACACAATTAAGTAGCTTATAGTGAAAAGCAGCATTTTATGTCTTTGAATCCATCTGTCTTGCTTTTAGGGGCAAGTGATTTGAACACTTGAGCTATTAATTTTTTTCTGGTATTTATATTCATATTTTTTTCATATACTTTCATTGTTATTTCTAGATTTTTCAGTTTTATATATTACCTATTGGCCTGTCACGTGAAAGATATTTGTTAGGTATCCCCTTCTACCTGCTCTCACATCTTTCTGTTTTCCTCTTTAGGCTAAAGTGATATTGTTTACAACATTACAATGTAGTACCATATTATAATAATATAAATATTTAAAAATTGTGGAACCCCATAGTTGACAATGATCTTATTTTTCTTTCTTTTGTGTTTTTCTGGGTAGCTTTGTCTTTCCCAATTTTTTTTTTTTTTTTTTGAGTAGGAGTCTTACTATATCGCCCAGGCACACTCACGGCCACTGCAGCCTCGACCTACTGGTCTCAGGTAGTCCTTCTGCTTCAGCCTCACAAATAATAGCTGGAACTACAGGTGTGTGCCACCACGCCCTGGTAATTTTCTGAGTTATTGTAAAGATGAGGTCTCATCAAGTCACCTAGGCTGGTCTTAAGCCCCTGGACTCAGGCAATCCTCTCACCTTCACCTCCCAAAGTGCTGGAATTACAGGCATGAGCCACTGTACCTGCTGTCTTTTCCAAAGTTAATAGTTGCCTTATTTCTTTATTTCCTTAGCTTTCTATTCACCTGTTACTAGGTCTTTTCCAATATATGTGTAAAGCCCTTCAGCGCTATTTTCTAAATGGTAAAGCATATTAAAATAATCTATCGGTGAAGTTTTTTCCCAGATGACATTTCTCCTCGAGCCTCTGTCCTAGTGCTGTGCTCTAGACTGCTTGCTCTCCAGGCCTGTTTCACAGTTTTTTTTTTTCTTTCACAGTTTTCCTTCTGGAGCTCCTGTTCTAGATCCCCTGTTTCTTGGATCTCGTATCTTCCTTTTTCTTGAAATATGGCTGAGGCCTTCCATGTTTGAAAATGTCTTACCTTTATGCTCTATGATTCATAATTTAGGTTCTAAGTTGGAAAAGATTTTTGTTTCAGATTTCTTTTTTTTTTTTTTGAATTGGAGTCTCACTTGGTCACCCAGACTGGAGTGCAGTGGCCACTCCCGGCCACTGCAGCCTCACCTGCTAGGCTCTGGCGATCCTTCCGCCTCAGCCTTCCAAGTAGCCGGAATTACAGGCATGCGCTACCACGCCCGGCTGATTTTTTGATTTATTGTAGAGATGAGGGTCTCGCTGCCCAGGCGGGTCTCGAACCCGCGGGCTCAGGCAATCCACTCACCTCAGCCTCCCAAAGGCGCGGGATTACAGACTGAGCCACCAAGCCCGGCTTGTTTCAGAATTTTAAAGGCATTCCTTGGTGATCTTCTGACTTACAGTGATGTTCAAGTTTGGAAGTCTGATGCCATTTTGATTTCTTACGCTTTTTATATAATCTCTCTCACTTTTCTGTCCTCTCTATGGAAGTTTTCTTTTCATTTATTTATTTATTTATTTGTCAAGGTCTCACTGTGTCTCCGAGACTGGAGTGCAGTGCTGTGATCCTTCTGCCTCAGCCTCCCAAGTAGCTGGGACTATAGGTGCACACCACCATACCTGGCTAATTTTATTATTTTTTTATAGAGACAAGGTCTCACTATATTGCCTAGGCTAGTCTTAAACTCCTGACTCAAGCAATTATCTCGCCTTGGCCTCCCAGTGTGCTGGGAGTATATGTGAGCCACCACGCCTGGCCTATTGAAGTTTCAGAATCTTTTCTTTGTCCTTAATTAAAACTTAAAAAAAATTTTTTTTTGAGACAATGTCTCATTCTGTCACTCAAGCTGGAGTGCAGTTGTGTGATCATAGTTCACTGCTGCCTCAGCCACCTGGTCTTAACCAATCCTCCCACCTCAGCCTCCCAAATAGCTGGGACTATAGGTGCTACCACACCTGACGGATGATAGTATTTTTGGAATTTTCTTATGCTTCTTACATTATACCTGTTTCCTTCAAGTTATTTTTCTTTGGTTTTTGTCCCCTTTCTTTTCATTTTGGAGGCTTTCCTAACATTTCTGATACATGCTGTCTACTCATATTTAACGATGAAGCACTAAAGTGTTCATTGAAAACTCACTGATTGGTAGACTTCCCTGTAGGGTACTTGGTGTCTACCTGGACTTTTGTCGAGGTACCTGAAATGGCAGTTTTTTGCAGGTGTTTTCTCTTAAACTGTGTGGTTACTTTAGAGAAGAATCCTCCAAGTTCCTGCCAATGTGCTGAGAACAAATTAGGGGGGAGGGCACATCATTCACAGGGAAGAGATGGAACACAGAAGACTTGGTTTAAAGTCAGTAAACGAAACATAATAAGGTCAAGTATGGCTTCCTGAAACTTACATTTCACGTGTGTGTCTGTGTAAGACAAAGATGACTGTGGCCCATGGTAAGAAATCCAGTGTTTTGGTTGGTTCAATAGCAGAGAGTTATCAGAACGAATTAACATTAGTATCACTAAAATTGGTATATAATCCCCCACTGCTAAATTTGACTGGTTTAAAAAAAAAAAAAGAAATCCGGAGCTTGAAAGCTACTGCTATAGGAATCTGATAGCTTAGAGAGTATTAGTAGTGATGTTGGCTAACTTTTTAATTTTAATTTACTTTTATTTATTTTTGAGTCAGAGTCTCACTCTGTCACCCAGGCTGTAGTGCAGTGGCACGCTCATGGCCACCCCAACCTCTACTGCAAGGCTCAGGTGATCCTTCCGCCTTAGTCTTCCACATGGCTAGAACTACTGGCACATGCCACCATGCCCTGCTAATTTTTTGATTTATTGTAGAGACGAGGTCTTCCCAGGCTGGACTTGAACTCCTGTGCTCAGGCAGTCCTCTCGCCTCTGCCTTCCAAAGTGCTGGGATTACAGGCGTGAGCCACTGCATCCGGTCCTAACGTTTTATTGAGTGCATAGGCTTACATGTCATTTCATCTGATTCTCTGCAACTTCATGAGGTAGTATTATTATCTCCATTTTTCAGATGAGAAAATTATGGCTCAGGAAGGGTGAGTAGTAATCTTTCCCCAGATTACATAGCTAATAAATAGGACATAGCATGGGTTCCATTCCAGGTTTGTTTGACATTGTTTGACATAACTAATTGGTTATGCTTTTTTTTTTTTGAATTGGAGTTTCACTCTGTTGTCTAGGCTGGGGTACAGTGGCACACTCATGGCGACCACAGCCTCAGCCTACTGGGCTCAGGTGATCCTCCTGCCGCAGCCTTCCAAGTGGCTAGAACCACAGGCACGCGCCACCATGCCCGGCTAATTTTTTGATTTATTGTAGAGACAAGGTCTTGCTGTATTGCTCGGGCTAGTCTTGAACTCTTTAGCTCAGGCAGTCCTCTCTCCTCTCCCTTCCAAAATGCTGGGATTATAGGCATGAGCCACCGCACCCAACTGGTTATACTTTTTATACTGCATATTACATATTGGAAATTTCCAATTTATTACAAATTAGGTTTATGGCCCAGAAAATCTCTACTTTGTGTACTAACAAAGTATCTAAAATCTAAATGCAAGAGACTCAGGATCATTGTACTTGGGATTACATTATAGCTTTGTGACCTTAGGCAATTTATGTGACCTCTCTGGGTTTTGTTTCCCTCATTTCTGAAAGTGGAATGTACTAGTTTCTTCCATTCAAAGTTTACTTTAGCCAGGTGCAGTGACTCATGCCTGTAATCTCAGAACTTTGGGAGGCTGAGGCAGGAGGATTGCTTGAGCCCAGGAGTTCAAGACCAGCCTAGACAACATAGCAAGACCTTGTCTCTACAAAAAAAATAAATAAATAAGCCAGGCATGGTGGCTTGTTCCAGCTGCCTGAGAGGCTGAGGCAGAAGGATCACCTGAGCTCAGGAGGTCAAGGCTGTGGTGAGCTGTGATCATGCCACTGCACTGTAGCCTGGGTGACAGAGTGAGGAAAAAAAAAAGGCCAGGCATGATGGCTCATGCTTATAATCCTAGCACTTTGGGAGACTGAGGTAGGAGGATTGCTTGAACCCAGGAGCTTGAGACCAGCCTGGGCAACAAAGTAAGATCCTGTCTCTACAAAAAATAGAAAAATTAGCCTATAGTCCCACTGCTCGGGAAGCTGGGAAGGAGGATTGCTTGAGCCCAGGAGCTGGAGGCTGCAGTGAGCTATGATTATGCCTGCACTTCAGCCTGGGCAACAGAGTGAAACCCTGTCTCAAAAAAAAAAAAAGAAAAGGAAATAGGAAAGGAAAGCTACTGGTGAATTAAGAACCCTGCCAAAACAACTGTTGATGCGTGAGAACTAAAACATTACACAGTGAATAAAGCATGGGGGAGGGTATGTCATTCTGATTCATTATCATATTTGGTCAGCTTCAGGTATTACTGCAAACTTTTAAACCTGATTTTTTTCCCCCTGAAATATGAAATGGTTTCCTCAGGATTCTGGAGATTGGAAAATGTTTCAGATTGATGTTCTGACTTGAAAGGCAACATGTATATGGATGTCAACCACCACAAATTAGAGTAAGAGGCTTTAGCATAGATAATGGGATAGAAAGCAAATAATTCTGTTTCTCCCCTGGTTATCATTCAGACCTGCTTGATGAATGAATATAAGTCTTCGCTTAGGATAAAAAGTAACTGAAATGTAAGTGCTTTATTTTTAAGCTGTGTTCTTATGTGTTTGCATGGGATATGCAGTTACAGCAGTATGCAAATCTGGGACATCTGAATCTAAAAATAATCTTGAAACAGTAGCTTGTAAGTTCCCTGTGTAGTCATTGATTTAGTTTCAAATAACATGTACTACCAGGAAGGACATAGTGGTGAGATGTAATACTAAGTTCTCCCCTTACAGTGGGTGATTCCCGAATTGATTGGCCATACCATTATCACTGTATTGATGCTTGTTTCGTTGCATTGGTTCATCTTCCTTCTCAACTTACCTGTCACCACTTGGAATATATATCGGTGAGTATAGTTTGTTTAGTGTTTTATGTCAGGGCAGTTAAATAATTAAAAACAATTTTTTTTTTTTTTATTTGGAGTCTCACTCTGTCACCCAGACTGGAGTGCAGTGGCACGCTTACAGCTACCCCAGCTTCAACCTGCTTGGCTCCGGTGATCCTTCCATCGCAGCCTTCCAAGTAGCTGGAACTACGGGCATGTGCTACCACACCCGACTAATTTTTGATTTATTGTAGAGACGAGGTCTCTCCAAGGTGCCCGGCCTGGTAGCAAACCTGCGGGGCTCAGGCAATCCACTCGCCGCTGCCTCCCAAAATGCTGGGATTACAGGCTGAGCCACTGAGCCTGTCCAAAACCAAATTTTTTAACAGCTTTCTCTCTCCACTAAAATATGTGCCAGTAATAAAATGATGGCAGAATGCTTTGTTAAATCAGGACCAATTTTTGTTCACTTTGGTGTATTGGAAAATGGCAATTTGCATGGTTCAGTCTTGCAGTAAAACACAAATTTACATGTGTAAATTTATAAAATGTGATGTATATCTAAACACTTGTGCATTGTTTTTTTTTTTCTTTTAAAGATGTGGGGTACATATTTATTTTAAAGGATCGGGTATATAAGTGGTCTACGTACAGGTGAAGTTTGGGCCTCCCATTGGCTCTCACTTCACCTGGCTTGGGATCACACACCCTTATTGATGTTGTGTCTCCCCCCTACGTACACACACAGTTTCCTGCTACTACCAATCCCTTTCTTGTAGTAGTATGGTTGGTGGTCAGGGTTCACTTATGAGTGAAACTTATGGTACTCAGGTGAGTTGTTTTTTCATTACCTTTTCATTTTACTTTAAGAATGGTCAAAAGCCTGAGAACATATAATATAAGGTTCTTGTTTATAGCTGCAGTTTTTTATTAGACTGTACTTGTAATACTCCAAAGGAAATTACATTTTAAAACTTGCAAATTACGTACTTATCAAAATTTTTGACCTGATAAATTTAAGAAGTTTATCTAAAAACAGCTCAAGGGAAACATTAATTGCATATAATTTTATATTTGGGTTGTTGTACACAGCATACTTTCTTGTGAAGAACTCTGGAATAATCTTGACAAGCCTGGAATAATTTTTATATTAGTGACTTGTTGCTTTACTACATTTTGGATTTTATTTTAATTTTGTTTATATCTAGGTTTTTTTGGGTAAAACCATTCATTGGCTGATTTTTTTAATTTTTTTTTTATTTTTTTTTTGAGTTTGAGTCTCACTCTGTCGTTGCCCAGGCTGGAGTGCAGTGGCACGCTCATGGCCACCATAGTCTTGACCTGCTGGGCTCAGGCAATCCTTCCACCTCAACCTTCCAGATAGCTGGAACTACAGTTGTGTGCCACCATGCCCACCTAATTTTTTGATTTATTGTAGAGACAAGGTCTCACCATGTTTCCCAGGCTGGTCTGGAACTCAATCCAATCCTCTTGCCTCCCCCTCCGAAAGTACTGGGTTTACAGTTGTGAGCCGCCATGTCCGACTTCTTCTTCTTCTTCTATTTTCTTTTTTTAAAGAGATAGAGTCTTGCTGTGTGGCCCAGGCTGTAGCACCTTGGCTGTTCACAGATGTGATCATAGCACATTACAGCCTTGAACTCCTGGGCGCAAACAATCCTCTTGCCTCAGCTATCAGAGTAGTTAAGACTACAGGCAAATGCTGCCTTGCCTGGCTTCTTTAAATTTTTTTATTGCTTTCCTATGATCAGTTCCATAGACCAATACTCTATCCTAAGCTCTATGCATGGAACAGACTCCCTGAGATTCTGCTGAGGGTCAATCCCATGCAGACTTAACAGTGCACAGCTAAATCTCCCTGTGATTCCACTGAGAAAGTGCCACACAAATTTGGGTGCAAGAATGGAGACTGGAACCTCTGAGATTGTGGATCTTAATGACATACCAGACCACATCATCAGTCATCTCTACTAGAAACAAAAGCATGCTAGAAGAAGAGCAAGCAGCCGGGCTCGGTGGCTCAGCCTGTAATCCCGCGCCTTTGGGAGGCTGAGGTGAGTGAATTGCCTGAGCCCGCGGGTTCGAGACCCACCTGGGCAGCAAGACCTCATCTTGACAATAAATTTTTAAAAACTCAGCCGGGCGTGGTAGCGCATGCCTTTAATTCCAGCTACTTGGAAGGCTGAGGCGGAAGGATCGCAGGAGCCCAGCATGTCGAGGCTGCGGTGGCCGGGAGCGGACACTGCACTCCAGTCTGGGCGACAGAGTGAGACTCCAACTCAAAAAAAAAAAAAGAAGAGCAA